CCCCAAAACCCCAAAACCCCAAAACCCCAAAACCCCATTGCCAGCTAAACTTTTTGAAAAATATCTTATTGAAATCTGGAGGCTATACGCCACTTATTTACTTCTCCAGCTCAATGATTTTCTTTGAAAGAGGGTGTCAGGGATCAAGTAGCACATATGATAGAAGAGAGCATGCTTCCAATGACCATTTGTCCATGCATCATGACCAAGCTTATCTAAACTACCTCTTGCACAGTCTTGGGCAGAGATAGTGAAACCGGATACTATACTTAGTAAGACATAGCTGCGTACCTTTTCTGTTTCCTACAAGAGGAGTACTGACATATGATGGCCTCAAGCTCACTATTATGTTATATTTTAAGCTTACTAAAATCGATCTTTCCTTCATAATCCCAAGAAGAAGCTCTCGAATGAAAATCATTATATCCCTTGGTTGAGGAATATACAGGGTTAAGACCACAAGGTTTGCCTCCTTGGAAGCTACTAAGATTAACGATTCCTGATTTCATCTTTCTCTTGTTCATTACTGGTGCAAAATGAGCAGTCAGAGCTGTTTGAGAGCAGCAGTTTACCTTAAGGGCGTTAAGATCATTCTTGATTTGGTTTCCATCTTCAGCAACTCTGAACCCAATTCCAACATTGTTTACCAACAAAGAGACATCTAAATCTTGAGTTTCTTCGATAATATCTTTGTAAAAAGATTCTTCATGCGAGTCGTCAAAGTTCTTAGCCAAATACTTTGCCTTCACTTTGTACTTGTCCTCGATGTCTTTGGTGATGTCTTGTAGCTTAGACTCGGTTCTTGAGATTAATAGCAAGTTGAAACCTTTGTTAGCCAGCTCATACGCGAAGGCCTTGCCGATTCCGTCTGAGCCTCCGGTGACGATGGCCCAGGAGTCCTGGCCGTATCTTTGGATGAGGTCATGAGGCTCCCTGATGAAATGTCTGTAGACTCCAGACCCAGGCACGTAGAGCCCGTAGTAGGCGAGAGCAGTGGCACCTGCAAGAGGGATTATTCGTTTGCGGAACATGTTGGAATTTGGTAATTCAATATGAAATTTATTCAATAATTTTTTGATATTATGGGGTTTTGGGGTTTTGGGGTTTTGGGGTTTTGGGG